AAGACGATTGAAAAGGAAGAGACACTCCGACCTTGTACCATCCTAAACTCTTATCTATTACTGTTAACTAAGTAATTATTGCAAGTAATTGTTACCTAATTTATTAATAATATTATTAACTGAGGAACACAGTTGGGTGTTTGTCTTCACTATATGTTTCACGTCATATTTTGAATTTAGTATACGATCACAATTGTAATGTGCTTTGCTCAATAAGGTTTAAAAAGACGAAAAAAATCACGAAAATTATAGTAACTATATTTTTTGATTAAGATGAAAATTCCTATTTAATGTTTTTATTGTGCTTAAAATGAATAAAAATTTTATGTAAAAAAAATGTGTGGTGTTACCGTTACTTAATGATTATTTGGAGGTCGTGAGATGCGGTCTGATGTGACGTAGGTTTAAGAAAAAAATTTTCTTTATCGTGCCAACGTTTCGATCTTTATTGACATCATCATCAAGGCCTGGGATTTATAAACATTGTTTAAACTTTACAATAGATGTAGGATGAGAAAAAAAATGAATTTATACAATGCCAGAAAATTTTAGATTAAAAAAATGAATTCATACAATGCTAGAAAATTTGAGATTAAAAAATATGAATTTATACAATGCTATTATATATTTTTTGAATCTTAAATTTTCTAGTACTGTATACGTTCTATTTTTTATATTTTTTTCAATTTAATTTAATTTTTATTTTTTATTTTTTTAATCAATTTTTTTAGCATTGTATAAATTTGTTTTTTTATTCTAAAAATTTTCTAGCATTGTATAAATTCTTTTTTTTAATCTAAATTTTTTTTAGCATTGTATAAATTCATTTTTTTAATCTAAATTTTTTTAGCATTGTATAAATTCATGTTTTTCTTTAATCTAAAAATTTTCTAGCACTGTATAAATTCATTTTTTTTTATCTAAAAATTTTCTAGCATTGTATAAATTCATTTTTTCATATCCTAAATGTATTTGTAAAATCTAAACAATGTTTTGTAAATCCCAGGCCCTGATGATGATCTCAATAAAGATCGAAACATTGGCACGATAAAGAAAATGTTTTTATAAATCATACGTCACTGCATCTCACGATTTCTAAATAAATATCGATTAACGGTCACTAATCACCACACATCTTTTTTTAATATATATTTTTTATTCATTTCAACCACTATAAAAACATTAAATACGAATTTATTATTAATTACTTATTCTACGTAAAAAACAAACAAAAAATACACTTAGATTGATATATAAATACATTAAAATACATGCACAACATAGGTGGAAAACTTCTTTTGAGAATAACTACAAAAATTACTTAAAATATCATTTTTAAGGCTTCGAGGGCCCGTTGGGAAGAACGCTCGGACTAGTGTGTAATATTTTTCCACTTAGTATCACTAAAAAATAAAGGTTTCATTAAAACGTAGCCTCCCCTTACTGGACGACGTAAAAAGGGGAGTATAAAACGTACACAAACATAGGAATGAATAATCAATGTTTAACGTAAACGCTAAACATTTCTTGATTGATGTTAGGTATATATTTTTGTATTACATTGGAAATTTTAACGCTAATTTTTTCAAAGAGTGTTAGGAGGGTTGGAATGCAGGGCCGCTGGATTCGAACCCGGTACCTTTACCTTACAGTGATGAGCGCCGTGTCAACGCCTAACCGTTCCGGCCACCGACGCCCCCCATTTTGTTTTTAATATAGTGAATGAACGTCCTGTCGATGCTTTGACGGCATCGTCTTTCATCTTTCTTTTCTTTATCTTTATCTCACGGTGCACATTGTTATGTGAAGAACTTTGCAACGGTCGTGCTCCATAAAGTTCAATCCGGGGCGAAGGAACGAACATACCCACGAGGGCTAATAGAGTGTTTCATTTTTTCTTTAAACATTTTTCTATTTAAAAAAGGGTAAAATACTGTAAAGGGTGGGAACGGTTGTGGCCGCGATCGACCGCAATATCCACAACCCGGAGCCTTTTGGCCAGAGTACTGCAATGTCCTGAAAATAGTTAAATTCCTTTTTTTTCTGTCCCTTTTTATATAGATATCCACCTATGAGTTCGAATTTAAACGAGACATAATATTACTTGTGTAGAATCATAAGTAGAGCAATTGCAAAAATATTTCATGAAAAGACTGCCATCTTTTCCCATATGTACATCCGATCACCTTGATTATTTGGAAATAGATCGAGTCCCATTCTATTTCTTTTAAGGCAAAGTTGTTCAGGTGCTCCTACACCTCAAATGCAACAAAAACGTTCATAAGAACCATGGTCCGATTCTTAACCCTTTGGCAGATATTCAACATTGCATGTTTTTTCTACTATCCACGTCATATATCTACTTGTAGCTATTGACCTATTCGTTTTTGGAGAAATCTAAAAAAAGGATTGAAAAGGGAACATTACTTTTAAAAAGACACCCTTTTCGAAAGTTCAGTGTAATATTTATTACAAAAACAAACAATTAATCTTTCAAAAACTGCTAAATTTAAAATTTGTAAAAACTTAATTTGCAACGTCATTGAAAAACATCACGGCAGAGCTGGGCAATTCATGACAACTTTTTCATTTAATAAGCTTTCTATCGGAATACTCTTTTCTTTAACAACATCGAACCAAAATGCAGAAATTGTATGCTAAATGGGAAAAAAGTGGTAGTGATGAGAAAAAGGGAGAGTGGGATTAATCTAGTGCAACTTTGTGTCCTGGGTAAAATTTATTTCCCAACTTTAACTTAATAAAAAAAAAGTATCAAAAGATAGAAAAATGAAATAAGACACATAAACAAGAAACAATAAATATGGCGTACAGCGAAAGCAAAAAACCATAATTTGGTCGTTCACTATGTTTATTGTCTCTTTTTTATAGGTTTTGTTTGATTTTTACGATGAATTTTTTTTTCGCTGTTTTATTAGGTGAAGTACAAAGTTGGGTTTTACATCCTGTATTTTTGTTCTTTGTTTCTCTTTTGTCAGTATTTATTGTAGTGTACATAATTTGTCTAATTTTTCTGTTTTGGTTGTTTCTTCTCTTTTCTTTCAGATTTCTTTCTTTTTGGGCTTTTTTTATCAAGTTAAAGTCGGGCAATAAATTTTGCCCAGGACAAAAAGTCGAATTATTAGAAACGTATGGTAATGACCAAATTCCAGGCTTGTGTACAGTAAGACAACACGGGAGAAAGTTCACAATTGAAAAACGAAACTTAAAAAAGTATAGCAAAAGCACAGAAAAAAACTCGCTCATATTTCTTGATCCCGTAAAAACAAAAAACATTGGACCAAACTAATCCTAACCCTAACTCCACCTGACCGGACCTGCCCCTAGCCCAAACCCAAATTGTATCCTAACCTTACTCAACCTATACGCACTCACACTGACACACACAGTTTGACAGACAGAAACCCTGAAGATGGCAAAATGCCGAAACGCGTCTGGAGATCAACCTTACGAGTATTGGCAGACCTTCAAACTTACAGAAACTTAAAGAGTATAAAGAAACACGAGCATATTTTCTTCAGTTCACGTAAAATCATTGAATCGTAGGTACGTAACCTAATCTTAAACCTAACCCGTCTCCAACTCTATAACAATTAATCAAGGTTTTTAGTTGAGATAAAAAAGTCAATGGCACGAGCGGGATTCGAACCCACGATCTTCGGCTAGATACGCCGCTGCTCTACCACTTGAGCTAGCGTGACCTCGATCCACTCGGACACCAACTTCCCATCTCAACCCTACCTTTTGAATTTTCCCTCCTTTTTGCCATTTTTCAAATGTCGTGTATTGGATTGTGTTGTATTGGATTCTCGACGACAAATGAAATGGCCACGGAGAGCTTTAGTGAAGTATACTTCATTTCAAATCATTAAATTCACTAATTTCGTGGTCCGCTTGACCAATTAATAGAGTAGTAGAGCAGCGGCGTATCAAGCCGAAGATCGTAGGTTCGAATCCCGCTCGTGCCATTGACTTTTTTATCTCAACTAAAAACCTTGATTAATTGTAATATATTAATTTGTCAAGCGGACCACGAAATTAGTGAACCTAACTATAACCTAACCTTACCCATCATCCTATTCGTACTACCCGGTAACGCGAAAATGGTCACGCAAAGATAATTGCGTCTCCATTCCAAAAATATATCTATGTTATATCAATAATCCTCTCCAATTTAAAATGCTAGAATTTTAAATTGGTATAATTATTTTGTAATTAATGGTAGCCCTAATTTAGATATATTTGTTGCCAAAAGTACCTGTTCTGCAACTTTTTTGTAAAAATTGTATTACTATATATTCTTTTTATTTGCGGTAAGGTTAATAGAAAAACAAAGAGCCGTATAAGCTTTGATGATGATCTTAAATAGGTCGACCACATGAGAAACTTTATGAGATGAAGTTTTAAAATGCTGAAGTAATCTGAATAGTGAAGTATCTGGAATACAAGTCTTTGTACAATATGGGCTTTTTAGTCCAATTTGACATGTAGGATAACCTCTTGATGTCCGTTCGCGGGACTGCCTGTATAATAATGCAATGCTTTTATTATTACTATATTATGTGTGTAAAGTGGTAGTTTTATTGATTTTATTTAAAAAGAAAATCATAATTGAAGGTAAAAAGCAGTTGGCAAAGAAGGACGTTCCTAATCGCAATGTAGCTTGTGAAGATGTTTTATTGTATAAATCATAAGAAGAAACATGAAGCTATGTTATCGACGGGATGATTAATGTTTAAAAAAATAAGTCTCCGTTGTTTAGATTCGCCTCTGTGCGTGAATCGGGTGTCGGACGTGCAGACGATGTGATGTTACGGAGAAACAATCAATCTGTGTGTTGTCGGTTGTGACTTTTTCCCATGAATGATGGATGTACGCGGAGTGAAAACGATTCAATGCTAGTTTTGTAATTGTAAGAGTAGCGGCGTAGGAGAGAAGAGAGTGGGGCTGTTGAAGATGGAAGGTGGAAGAGGGGGCCCCGGAGGACCACAGTGTGGTAACAAATATGGCGGAGACAGCACCTGTCGGTTCGTAGTGCACCTAATGAAAAAAAAGACAACCATGTATCGAATGAACTTCTATGAAAGCACTTGCTTGCGCTGCGATCAGACAGTGTATCAAGTGGATCGAGTCGGCCCGTTGAAAGATTTCACTTTTTTCCATTCGGGGTGTTTCAAGTGCGCTGTGTGCGGTACGAAGTTGACCCTTAAAACTTACTACAACAACCAACACCGCCAGGAAGATAAAGAGGTCTACTGTTCCGGCCATGTACCGAAAATCGGCCCGGGCCACTTGGACGGATCCGCCGTAGGCATACGTTCCGCGTTGAACGTGCCCAAAACGACAAATTTCGTCAACGACCAAATCAGATCCCAGAACGGCAATGCGGCCGTCGTGACGCCGCCCCAGTTAGATTATCAGTATGGACGATTTGACGCGAGTGCTCTTCATATCGCTCATGCGTTACGTGCGACTGAACTCCACAAGGCGTACAACAAAGCCAGAGAGAAACCCATCGAATATTACCTCGTGAGTATACTCAGTTTATAATAATACAAACCGGGGATCCCTGATTACCGATATCACTTGGGGTAGTCCCGAGGAATTCCTCGACGAGGTCATCGAACCCGGTACACTCCCTTTTCTTACCCTTCTATCATAAACTGACGATTTTTTTTGACATTTTTTCAATTTTTATACGTATGGGAAATTCTACTGAGGGAAAGGTTTTCCTATTTAAACGAACTTCCACTATCCGGGACGTCCTGATTATTTCTTTTCTTTTCCTTCTTATCTCCGATTTCAGTACCCGACAAAAAGTAAGCAAATCAGCATTAAGGCCAGCTTTCTTTACTCCTTCATTTAGTCTACCGACACAAATCTTTGGCCGGTGTAATTTGACTTAAGGCAGAATGTAATTTAACAACACGTCTCACTGTATCGACTACCTTAACTGGCAGCAATTTATATCGTCTTATTCTCTCTTATCTAATAGTTAAATATTAATATTTTCCCTGATGTCGGATAAATATAAATATTTACAGAAGCAAATACGACAAAAATTTAATCAAATTTGAAAATAATTAAAATCCATGAATATCTGTTTTGCGTATTATCTGTTATGCTTTAAAGTCCTCAGAATTGTTTTTTCAATTTGATAAAATTCCATTTATTCTCAAAGCGGATGTTTTTGTGTTTATCGCAAAAAAGAGAAGGTTTTTGTCTTTTTTAACTGTTGACGCCTGAAGGCAGACAAAACCTAAGAGAAATATACAAACAGACTTAAATAAACAACTGAGCTCAGGTCTAAAAGATTTCATTTGATCGTCCAAATTCAAGTATTTATCGCCGCTTTTCACACACGCACAACAAAACATGAACATTAACAGTAATATTATAACAAATAAGTCGAAGGATTTAATTGTGAATAATTCAATGTTTGGGTACAATTAAACTTCGACTCGACCGTCTGTCGTTATCGCCAGCAAAGAGATGCCTCATTTCTTACTTCGTTAAAGTCTCTTTTGCCTCTCACACTACGTTAGTTAACTTCGAACTTTTGTCAATGTAAACTTTTTGATTAAACTTCTGTTTTACTTTTTCCGTTGAATTGATTGTAATTAATTGAATTTTTGATTTTTTGAGATACCCCAACATAAAAAATCTACAAACACACACGGCATTAACAATAACACAGACCCCCATGTGGAACGCTCCGAGCCATCCCTAACCATAAAGAAAAGCGAAGACGGTTTCCTGCCCTTTGTCAAGGCTAACGGTTCAATTTGAAATTTTCTCTCGGCAATTATTTCTAAAGGGAAATGCAGTGTAGGCGATTCATTGTTCCTCGCACAATTCAAAAGGATCGCCCATAATTATTGAAATTGCCAATTGTTTTGTTTTTTGCGTATTCGGAAAGAAGGAGATATGGAAAAGGTTCGGGTGTCGAAGTCGACGTGAATATATGTGTAGGCACTTCGAGAACGACCGTCGTTCTGGTTTTGATTGTATAACAAGTAGTGAAGTGGAGCGAGTGGGCAACGAAGCCAGTCGTCGTCGACTTCCTTTTCTCATGCTTGTGGGAATTCTAGACTATCTACCGTCTTTGAAACCGATTGTGTTTCCAACTTCCGTTAATTTTACATAAGGCTCTTTTAGATGAGGGGGTTCTTTGCACCCCTCCGCGCCCGACGAAAAACTGTAACTTGTGAGAAAATTGCGTGTACACATGTTACGTCGCTACATGAAACGATCTGATTGGGTTGTTTAATCAAACGACATTCCATTTACGGTACTCTGATAGTTTTGAGATAAAACAACCTTCCGAGCAACACGGACTAAATTATTTAAAAGATTAATCACCGATATAAACATTAAGTAGATACTCAGAAGTGTAATATAGTAACTATTGTTTCTTGAAACTTATTTTTTCTCATCCTTTTCTCACCGGAAAAATTTGTATATTAGATCATTTTTTGCCTGTAAAGTGTATAATGTGTGTATGAGAGATAAGTNAGAGAGAGAGAGAGAGAGAGAGAGAGAGAGAGAGAGAGAGAGAGAGAGAGAAATAGAGGGTTAGGTAGGAAGATGGAGATAGATGGAGAGAAAGAGGTTGATTACTTTTTAAAATTACTTTTTATTTATTGTCGTAGCTATTTGGAGTCTGAGCAATCACTGCCTTTCTCTCTATCGCTCTCTTCCTCTGTCTGTTTATCTGTCTGTTTCTCTCTCTCTCTCTTCCTCTGTCTCTTTCTCTACCTCTATCTCTTTATCTAGTTATCTTCCTATTTATCTGTCTCGCTCTTTTCATCTCTCTATCTCTCCTTTCTATATCTATCTGACTCTCTGTCTTTTTATTTATCTGTCTCTCTATCAGCCTATATATGTGTCTCTCTAACTGTCATTCTACCTCTCCCCCACTCTTCCTCTCTATCTCTTTATTTATTCGATCTGTCTCTCTATCTGTTACTGTCTTTCGATCTATCTGTATCTCTCAATATGTCTCTCCATCTCTCTATCTATCAGTCAATCTGCCTCTCCCCTCTCTATCACTATCTATCGATCTGTCACTCTGTCCCTCCCCCACTATTTCTCTCCATCTATCTGTTTATTTCGCTCACACTCTCACATACACACGCACAGATGTAGTGTGTTTAAAATATAATTCGTTTAAATTAAATCCAATGCCATTGCAATTTTGCAATTAGATTAGGAGGGGATTAAGATATTTTTCCAGAAGCCATTAGCGTAGATGTACCTGTACGTATGAAAGGAATCTAGGCCAACCGAAAAAAAAGTAAAAGGCGTTTGGAAATTACTATGGAATAATGATTGTAATTAGGCGATGCTAATGACCGCTTACAATTTAGAAATGGTGGGTCGTTAAAGGTCTTCACTCCTCTCTCTAGGTTTGAATGGAACGGGTCGTAGTGGAAAGGATTCGGTTTTTTTTGAATGGCGTTTATCAGATTAAAAAAATGCTGATGGACAAGTCGGCCTAGGCGGAATTCATTGACATCATGTTAAATACAGCAAGAGGCTTTTTCATACAATTCAGGACTGGAGGGATTCTCAGCAGTTTGCACTGTATGCTGAAGGAGGTTTCTAAGCAGATATTCTCTCCTCACAAAATATCCGGGGTTTTAGGGGACCACTGGCCGAATGGGTAGGCCGACAGAATTCGCCTAGCGGTTCTGGGTTCGAATCCCTTGGAATTTTTTTTTCTTAAATTTGGAAAAATTATTGTAAAATGGTTCTAAAATTACTCAAAGGACCTGGCTTATTCTATGTATAGTTGCCAAGGCGTGGGAATCTTTTTCCTTCATGGCCTCGAAGCGAAATCCGGATTGTAGGAGTGAAATGTTCAACTTCTCCCTGAAACAAATAAAAGGAGTCCGTGAAATTCAATGCAGACGACGGGAATGAACGTCCTCTCGATTGAATCCGACTGTACAATAAAAAAAAGGAAAATTAATGAGGATAATAAGGATGAGAGTTTATTTTGTCACCAGGCCTTATTCCCTCGATCAAGTAAAATAGGTCAATTAAAATTTATCAAGAGAGATCGAATCCGAGTTGTTTACCTTTTTCATTCCCTCACTTTTAGGAATTGTCCAATTTCATTAGTTTTACATTTTTATTTTTTAATTCTGAGAGTAAAGAATGTATGCATTCAACCAATAAATTAATGATCCCGTTTGAAACCGGCTCGTTGATATACACTAGTCAAAGAGAGGATTTTCGCCGTGTACCGGGTCATTTCAGAACTATGAAAAGTTTAACGAACGACGAGCTGGGAAGTATTTCTGACGAGTTGCACAACACCATTTATGAAATAACGACGTGCAACTGAGAGGCCCATCTTTACACAAAACAGCCATTTTGCAACATCGCAACAGGCTGCAGCAACAAAATTTCACGTTGTGTTATATTATCAGGCTGCACCTTTTGATTCCTCCTTCGGCCTAACATTACATATATTTCTATTACTTAAACAAAAACCTCCTTTTTCTGAACAGTAAAACGGGCAGACACATCTGTGCTCTTTTATATATTTTCCCAGCTCACTGGAGGATAGGTAGACCTTCAAATTTACATTAACTTAACCTAACCCCTTAACCTTAACTCTACCTAACCTAACCCGTCTCCAACCCTAATCTCAACCTAACCGAAACCGACCTATTCGAACTCCTTGGCATTGCGAAAATTGTCTCGGAAAAACATGAGGACTCTAGTCGAAAAAACATATCCAAGTTAACAGTCTTAATGAGTTAAAAAATAAGGCAATATTTTTTTAAAAATTTTTAATGAATAAGAACAGAAGATAATTTTATTTTATTTACACATGTATACATTGCATATAATAGTTTATTGAAGTTTCTGTCTAGTGACATTTAACTTCAGGTGGTTAAATCTTACCTACTCGGCAGAGGTAAAAGATGTGCATGTGTAAATTAGTCTGTAGGGTTAGTCTGTCACAAACCTCAGAACCTTGTTCTGTACATTCTGTAGCATGACATCAGTCCTGCAAGTTAGATGCCAGGAGGGGCATGGAGGAGCATCGACATGACCAGAAACTTGTACAGGATTAGTTTATTGGTCGGACAGTCTAGACTGGCGACAGAGCAGAGCGAAAAAAGTTTTGCCCTTGTTGGCTCTATCAAGAATGGTCCATTATCACCTTATATTTCACCACTTTGGACCACAACAGTCATTGTGACAGGGATGATCGAAAGGAAACTCGGAATATGTCTGGATGAGAGATATCACACTTTTCATCAGTTCGCTTACTTATTTCATATCTCAGAGGTGATACTTTGAGTTCTTTTTATTCTTCTAGCGTGGTGGTAGCAGATATGTTAAGCTTTTATTTTATGATAGAAAACTGTGGTTATGCAAGAGTTGTATTCAGCATAAGTCAAGCCTTTATCAAGGGTAGCACTTAAAAGCAATACTTGTTGGCCTAATAAGTTTACTGAGTTTGATAAGCGTGGAGGACATATAGACATCAATATCATTTTGGTCTTTTA